AAGCCATATATTTTTTGAATAATTGAAAACGAAATCACCCTCTTGGAAGTTTCAAGCCGCGACAACTGATTTCTAGGCTGGGTTAGTTTGGAATTTATGGAGAGTACACGTCCCCACAGGGCAGTATAAATAGATCAATTGTGATACCATATCGATGGCTGAGTGGAAGATCGACCTATCTCGGCAGCCAGTTCGAAAACGCCCTATCTCAGAAAAATTTTCAACAACGCTCTATCTAGAAAACTTTTCAAGAACGCCCTACTTCAGAACTTGATTGAAAAACGCCCTATCCCAGAATTTGGTTGAAGAACGCCCTATCTTAGCTGGCGATTCAAAAACGCCCTATCTCAGTTAATTTTCAATGTATTTCTGTTTGAGATAGGGCGTTTTTGAACCGAATTATGAAATAGGGCGTTATTCAACCAAATTCTGAGATAGGGTAACTAAGACAAAACAAAACAAAGATGCGTAAAAATAAAGGCAAAAGTGAAGACCAACGTAAATTTAAACACTTTACTTATATAAACGAAAAGGTGAAGGGGAATATGTAGATGTATTCTGGCTCTTTTTTAGGAGCGTTTTTTGAGCTCCTAAAGAAGGTTACCCACAACTCAAAATTCTAAGACTTTTTTGACTCTTAAATGAGTCCGAATATTTATAGGGTATAACCATTTTTATTTACCTAAATAAATTTTGCAGCGAGGGGGCTTCAATTGACGAAAAATGCCTCATATATCTACATACAAAGTAGTAGCAATTTTTATAATTCTATGCATCTCAATGTTGATATTTGAACACTGTGTATCATATTACTGCCTAAGGCAACAAAGCAATAAATTCATATTTTCGTTTCTTGACGCGTGAAACAGTAGCCACCGTGGCCTGCAACTAAAACTGCATAACTGTAATGCGAGTATGAACGATACAAAGCTAAAAATTTAATAACTTATCGGTAAACTATGAATTTGCTTGCAGCTTTCAGTGTCTACATGAACTTGCATGTACACTGACATAAATATAGACCTACATACATACATATCTGTAAATTTAGCATTTTTATGACAGTCACTCATCATTTTCCAGCTGTCAACTTTATTGAAGCTAAAGCCGGTTTTGTGCTCGAAAATTTGTGAGATTTGCATAAAACTAAATAAAACTAGCTTAAATTTATTCAAAACCTACTAAATGTTTTTTGCATTTATATTTTTTTTTTGTATTGCGCCTACTTTAATCTCAGCCGCAATCAATTAAAACTGGTTAACTGGTTAATGCCACCTGTCGCATAAATCTCCAATCAGAGCTTGTTTGTGCGCGCTGTGGCTTGTTTGTTTGTTTGTCAGACTCACTCACTTTGTTGGGCGACACATTAGTTCATTCATTACGTTGAAATGCAATAGTAATTCGCTGTGTTGGCGTTAATTAGTTAATTGTGCAGAGTGAAATAAATATAAAAAAGTGGAAAATGAAAGCAAAAAGCAAGAATGAAATAGATGGATGAAAATAAATGACAGACTAAAAATAAAATGAAACTAATGGAAGTTTGCAGAATAGGCTGCTTGATTTTAGTGAATAAAGTGGCAAGCACTTTTCTCTTAATTGATGCATATTTTATTACGAAACGATGAGTGATGTTACGTGGGTTTGCACGTGAATTGAAACTGGAGTGATTATATAAGCATCAGAAACTTAACGCCGCCCAATATGTAAATTAAGGGAATGCTTTTTATTTTGTAATTCATTGGTTGCGTTAACGCATCTTTCCGGAAATAGATAATGATGTTTTTTTTTATTTAACAGAAAAGTTCGGCGATGCGCTATCTATTTTGTGAATGGCCAACAAGTGTGGGTTTCTAAAAAAATTTCGAAAATACACTGCCGGCAAAAAGTATTGTGACAGCGAATTTTTCACAATATATGCATCAATTTCTATTATAATATTTTTCCGCTAATTTTTTATAAGATTATGGTATGGTAAAAATATTCTACACCAAAAATCATGCAAATATAATTCTTAAACTTTGTAAAAACCTCGCGAAAATTCAGCAAATTTTCATGCAAACTTTCCACTTTTTAATCAGATTTTTTCAAATTTTTTCGAGTATGCACATTTGTAGCTCAATCAATTTAATTATAATAAAGTAGAAGTTTTAAGTAGCTAGGAATTACCGTTGATTTTTGGCAAGTTTTTTCACGCAGTCACATCCATACACACAAATTTTATCGAAAATACTTTATATGGAAAAAGTGCAAAACATCTTCAACAAAAAAGAAAATTTCAAAAATTAGTGTAATTTTTGACTAACTCCGGACTTGCATTTTTTTACTAGAATTTAATTCGTTTGTACGCCTATGCTGACTTCCTCCATATGTACAATGAAATGATCGCGTGAAAAAATAATAACAGAAAAGAATTTTTTTAACGTTTGTAACGTTTACTTCGCTATTAATAAAATTTATTATATGTATAACAAATAAAATATGTACAAAAAAACAAAAAAAAAAAAATATTTAGATTTAATTCATAAAATTATTATTATTTTTTTTTTGGTGAATCGCAGATATAACAAATTCGTATAGATCTCTCATTTCATGCTGTTGTTTCTCTTCAACGCAACTACCAGGAATGTCCATGCCCATAGCCACCATCACCTTGATAACTGTCACCATGATGGTACACCTGAGGATGGTGAGCATGACCGATGCGCTTCACAACGGCATTGAAACCACTATGGCCATCAGCTGTGTATTCAACTACACGTTTAGTGCCATCAGCTTCATCCAGAGTGTAGCCGCCTAGCGAGAAGAGAAGAAGGAGGTTATCTTCGCTAAAAAACCGTTTGAAAACAACGCCAACTCACCCTTGACATGATCGCCATCACGATGCTCCCACTGGCTCTTGTGATCCCCGGTATGTGCGTCCTTTACACCATAATCAAATGAGTATTTGGGATAATGATGCGGTTCATGGTGTTCCTCGTGGTGGTCGTAACCATGACTGTGTCCACCGAAGCCGCCACCGTAGCCGCCATGGTGATGACTGTCATGTTGTACCACATAGCTGGAGGCGTGACCATGTTCTGCCAGTGCTACTCCGAAGAGTGCTACAGCGATGATGGCGATATATGGAAGAATTTGCATTTTTGTTGAATTTGAATTTAATATTTTTTATTTTTTTGTTTTTTTTTTGGTATACTGGCTACTTAGTAGCTCTATTGAAGTTTAAAGTTGAACTGATACCAACTAGCTGTCAACAGTTTCTATTTATACTCTATTCTTAATGAAACTGATCTTTACAGTAAGCTACATAGTGTGTATGTATGTAGATAGGTTCTGTTAGTGCAGATCAAAATTATTTTATAGCAGGAAATTCAAATGTATGCACTTTTTGAAAGTGTACCAATGTCTAAACAATCAAAATTCTGCTAAATTGTTTAACTCACTAATTGCTATTAAACTGAAATGAAAGCTCGATTTGAACTAAAACCAATGACTAAGAAGGTCGCCTAGCAAATTCCACAGTCAACTAAGTGCAGAAGTTTATGAATACTAACTAAAGTACACATTCAACACCCAGCCCATTTTTTATTTTATTTTTTTTGGCAGCAAATACCAACACATGATTTATTGTTTCATTGATGAATGCTTTGTATGATACATTTTCGTAGTAGCTGCATACTTACTTAGCTGCTTTACATGCAGAAGTATTAGGGCGGGTCGATTTGTAGGGACCCAAAAAAATTAACAGAGGCACATCGCGATTATGATTATTGACTTTCTCATGATGCAACTTCAATTTTTAAATAGCCTAAAACGATCAGCGTTGAAAATTTCTTTATTTTCTATTTTCTTTTTATTTTTTTTTTATTTTATACGGAAAAAAAATAAAAAAATACGTTATACGTGTTTAAAAAGTGCAACATTAGCAATTGTTTATGTTTTTTTTTATTAACATTTCATATGCTTTATCTCTTAAGTTGAATTTTTGAATAAAAAAAAAATTATATTAAAATAAGAAAAATTTTTTGTTGTAAAAAAATAAAATAAAAAATATTAAAAAATTGAAGTTGCATTATGAGAACGTCAAATTTCGTGCTGTCGATTTTCGAAAAAAAGGCGTTGCAATCCATAAAAAGTACGTAAGCGCCCTCTGGCGGCCCTCAAAAGAAAAACGAATGCCAAAAATAGATTCCTCGAACCCAAAAACCACCAGCTACACATTTTGGCTAGTTTTCAATACAGCTGTTTCAACAGGTGAGCCACTTTTTGAAAAAAAACTAGATAGAAAAATCGCTGGCTCGAAATTCATTTTAGACCTATGGTTTCTTGGGAAAAAATGCTTGAAATGACCCAAACAAAAACCATAATCGCGATGTGCCTTTGATGCAAAAAATTTGACCCGCTCTAATATGTATGTGCATATTTTCGCACTTAAATTTAGCGATCAACACCATTTACATTCACATATTTTATTGCTGTTGTTGTTGTTGTTAATAACATTTTAATTATTCTTGCTTTAAGAGCTTTTGTTACATTGGGCAATGGTAGCTTGTCGCGGTTTTGGTAATTATGTTCATAACATTTATGTAGCATAAATAATTTTTTGGAGAATTTGGGCGAAGTACCTACTTATGAAAAATAAATTTGGATAGCATTTGCCGTTATTTTAGTTAACAAGTTTAATAAAAACCGAAATACATACTTACATACGTTCGAAGCTTGCGTAATTAGCGCATAAAAAGAATTTTACTTCACATAGCTATATTTAGGTTTGTCTTACAATAAAGCTCACAAATTTTGTGTTGTTTAAGGTAAAATTTTTAATTATTTAAAATATATATTTTTTTTTGGCCCAACCTTTGCGCATTTTGCAACACAATATAGTATATAAAGAAACCACAGTTGGCTAGTTGGTATCAGTGCCACTTCAACCTCCAGTAGAGTTGCAAGCCATATTTTAGAAAGAAGAAAATACCATTCTTTAAGTAAATTAAAAATATAAAATGCATATCCTCTCCAAGAGCCAGTGGGAGCATCGGGATGGCGATCATGTTAAGGGTGAGTTAATTTATTTTGTATATATTTTTTTTTTAATAATAAATGATATTAATATAACCTGCTAGGCGAATACACTCTGGATGAAGCTGATGGCACTAAACGCGTAGTTGAATATACAGCTGACGATCACAGTGGCTTCAATGCGGTTGTAAAGCGGATCGGCCATGCCCATCACCCTGAGGTGCATCACCATGGCGAAAGCCATCACGGCGATAGTGGCTACGGGCATGGACATTCAGCCTCTAGTTACGTCGAAATCAAACAACATCACTAAGCTAATACAAAGAGAATGGAATGTTCACACGGGATTAATTTTTAACCAAAGAAGTTTGTAAATTTATGTAATTCTCTAAAATAACATCTGCTTAGTTTTAGGCAAATTATTATCTATTAAAAACCAGAAGTTTCTTTAAATAGTTGGGTTCTATTTATCCTGAGAATATTTGCTATTCCGTACTTTGGGTGTGATTTCAATATAAGTCCAATTAGAGCTGACGCATATGGCTATGTTAAACCACAATTACCACCATATTTCGCGAAGAACCTTCGAGAAGTTAGGACCATCCTCCAAGGTCTGCCACCAGTTGATCTTCGATTCTGCTCTGAACTGTTGGCCAGTGGCTTAATGCTCTGCCTACCCAAATCCCTCATTTATATAAGCGTTTAAAAAAGCCTAAAACCAGTGTCACCAGATGATCGAAAAAGCTTTACGCTATGAAAATTGAAGTTAGAAAGAAGTCAGTATATTTATTCTTTAAAAAATCGATAAGTTTCCCAAAACCGATTCTCTGTAAATAACATTTTAAATCATTCTCATCAAAACACAAAATAGCATCTATCAGGTCAAATAACAGGTACAAGACTTCCATATGTGTAAACTGAAGTTCACTTTAGGATAGATAGATATGTATATAGATTGAAATAGAGGTATGCATTGCGACCAAGCGATCTATTGTGCCCTCGACCATTTACAGTACCTCATCTAATACTAGGAAACCCACAAATTTGAGGAGACCTCCAGGTGTTAGCGATTGTATCAATTATTAACTTGGCCAGAGTTGGCCTAGGTACCTCTCCCGTCTTTTCGCAACCGCCTCGCACTCGCGAAGCGGGTTCACAGGAGGCTCCTCATTCACATCGCAAAACGACATAGATCGTTTGACCAGATGCCTAGTTTGTGCAGGTGACCTCTCATTCTACAGTGACCCGTCAGAAAACCTGCTATTATCCTTACCCCCCTTTGGGGGGGGGGGCTTACAATAGCCCTCTACCTTGAAAAGTTTTAGCCTGACATATACCTGTAGTGTTACGCCAGTGTTGATTCCTTAGCCGGTTTCTCTCCTGCCTGAGCTCTTCCTTGATTGTACTAGGTTCAATCACTAAGAAGGGCTCAGGCGGCTGCCGCTCTAGCTAGTCGGTCCGCTTCCTCGTTGTCAGCAAGTCCTATGTGACCTGGTAAGTTAATTGGATGTCATTGCACTCCGCTAGGACACACTCAAGAACCAAGGATGACTTGACTTCAAATGATGAGAGAGCCTCCGGTGCCGCCTGGCTGTCACTCAATATTAAAACTTTCTCATTACGGTAATTTCTACGTAGGTTAATCTCAGCACACAGACTAAGGGCATATACCTCCGCTTAAAAAATACTCGGGTATGGTCCTATGGGTACCGAGAGGTTTAGCCTTGGTCCATAGATGCCGTCCGGAGTTTTTTAGCCGTCTGTATACCATTGCATCGAGCTCGCCTGTATATACCTCTCCATAAAAGAGGTGCTCCAAGTTGACTTGGTGCGAAGCGCTATGTTAAATTTCATGTCAAAGTTAACCAACTTGGGCCTATCATCTCTGGGGAGCAAAGCTAATGGAATTTGGGAGCCTAGCATGTCTTCCTTTCCTCTCTCGTGAAGTTTAGTACAGTTCGCTTTGCTACCTGTTCTATGGTAAGGTGTTGAGCTTGAGAATCAACTCCAACGCTGTCGTCGGACATGTGCGCGTTGCCGTCGTAGTGCATACACACGCCAGACGTTAAAGCTTGGTGAGGGATTGCCTTACCGTGGCAAGGGTGGTTCTCGAGACCTAAGCCCCCGCCCTGTAAGTAACTATTGGGCTAACTATCATGGTATACATCCATCACAGGTTCTTGGGACTACAGCGCCAAGTCTTCCCTGCCAGACGTTTACATACCATAAGTGCCCTCGTAGATTTGGAATCAAACTTGCGCTTTATTATACTCAAAATGTTTCTACGAATTCTAATTAAAAATCCCGAAATTTTGACATAATTTGTCTTATTATACGGGTGACAAACGGGCTCGCTTATCTGCATAAATAGCCTTTATTTACGTTATTTCATGCATGCATGCAGCCGAACAAAGGCACGAAATTTTTGGAAATTAACTCGGATCCTTGGAATTTTCGATGGCCACACTGGTAAAAACGGCCAGCTGTTGTCTTTTGTACAAGTAAGCAAACAAAGCAAGCGACTATGGTATCCGCGGTAGCCGAGTGGTAAGAGTTGCATGCTACAAGCCTGTAGGTGCCAGGTTCGGTCCTCGATTGGAGCGACTGCCAACAAATTTTTTGTTTTTATTTTTAGTTTATTCTTTTTATATTTGATTTGATTTATATATTTAATTTTACTTTATTTTATTTGCATTTATTTTATTTTCTATCACATTTTTCATTTTACCATTAGTTAATTTAAACTTTTCGAGTTTAATTTTATTAAAAAAGTCAACAACAACTGAAAGCAACATTAAGAAAATATATAACTAATAAATGAATGAATAAAAAAGAAGTAAATGAACATTCTATTGGCCGTGGGACTCGAACCGACGACCTTGCGGCTAGTTAATCCGCATTACTGCCGTCTGTCAAGGCACAGTCTTAATCAGATCATTTGCACCGTTAATCCGGATCAACGCTGGCGTCTGTCTATGCCTTTATTAGATAACGAGCTATATTTGCATACAAAAACAACAAACATTAAATAAACATAAGAAAGCCAACTAAACCATGTTAAAATGTCGCCTCTCTACCCATTTATAGTTCCGGCGCTGTACACGCATTACTTACCACTCATTTTCTCAAGAAAATTCCATATGCCCTGCAGATTTTCAGACATAAGTAAATAGATAAATTCTCAATGAACTTTGCAATAATTTAAGAGTCGAATACTTTATAGTTTCACTTTCGCATGCTCATTGTTTTTGTAAAGTTTTATATTTCNACCCATAAACAAACAAAAACTATAGAGCTGGTATTTTTACGCAGCATTGTCTTCGAGCGTACACGCACAGATGCAATGCCGGAAATATTTGATAATATAAACGGCCACTTTAGTGTTTTTTATTATACTTTTCGTGTTTATTTTCTATTCAATCAACAAAAATTGGCATCTTCATCTTCAAGACATAAATATGTATATATGTGTGCGCAGGGTGTCTGTTTTCCAAAGCGCTTGCCGGCTGATGGTTTAGCTAATTTTTTGATTTTTTTTTTTTGGTATGAAAGTGCGTCTGCTTGTCATTTTTATTGTTGATTTGTGTACAGTTGTGCGTGCGTAAGCTTTTAAATTTATGCGCTCGTAAATTTTTACTCTCGCTGAATTTTAATTATTAGTTTTTTTTTGTTTTCTTCTCTACACACAATCACAAAGCTGAGGCATCATAAAGCCCGGCATCAGAAACATGTTGATAACAAACAGATATTTCGCAACAACACTCGCACAGAAATGTATAATTAAATTTTTGATTCCATTATAATTATTACAAACTATTTTATAGGTCTATGGAGTATTAAAATAAGAGCACGAGTGGGATAATTTGGTGAACTAAATATTTGTTCATTATTACAACACAACTTACATGCATACATATGTACATACGAGTTTGGTTAAGTCAGCAGAATATTTGACACAGTTTGTTTCTCAGTGTTAGATCATGTGAAATTTTATTTGATCTATTTCTCTTAATTTATTCTAACGACAGCAGATTGTAATGGCACAGGAACACGCAAAGTTTACGAGCAATTAGCGTAGAACTATCTTAATTGTCAATATTTATTTGAAGATCCTAGATTAGAGATGACATTGAATATTATGTCTAAAATTTGTGTTCATGAACTATTTAAATAATATTGGGAAATGCAAAAAAAAAA